CCTCCCACCGGGAGGTCCCGGCCCCCGGCTCCCTTCCCGCCCCCCCTCAGGCACGGACTCTCCGCTTCCCTCCCGCCTCTCTCGGCTCCGCAGGAAGCGGGGAGAGAGCTGGGACTGTCGCTGAGGCGATGGCGCCCCGTGCTGAGGTGACAGTGCCCCGAGCCGAGGTGATAGTGCCCCAAGCCGAGGTGATGGTCCCCAGGTTGAGGTGATAGGGCTCTAGGTTGAGGTGGTGGGGTCATATGCTGAGGTGACGGTGCATCAGGTTGAGGTGACAGTGCCCCTAGTTGAGGTGATGGTCCCCAGATTGAGGTAATGGGGCTCCATGCTGAGGTGATGGTGCCACATGCTGAGGTTATGGTGCCTGAGGTTGAGATAATAGTGCCCCAGGCTGAGGTGCTGGACTCCATTTTGAGATAATGGTGCCCCACATTGAGGCAATGAGGCCTCATGCCAAGGTGATGGTTTTCCGTGTGGGGGAAACAGTGCCCCAGAGTGATGTGATGGTGCTCCATATTGAGATGATGGTGCCCTGGGTTGGGATGATGGGACTCCTGGTGGATGTGCTGGCAGCCTATGTGGAGGGGGTGGCAACCCAGGTTGAGGGGATGGTGCCCCAGGCTAAGGTGACAGTGACCCACCCTGAGGTGATGGTGCCCCATGTTAAGGCAACAGGACCCCTGGTCAAGGCAATGGGCCCCTACATTATAGCATTATACACACACACACACACATATATATATATATATACACACATTGCAGCACTGAGTGACATATCCTGAGGAAATGGAGGAGGGAAATTGATCTGGAGGACTTCTAGGGACATCTGACCCAAATCTTTGGGGTTGGATCAGGACCTTTGCCCACATGAACCTGATCTCAACATCCTTGAATCTCAGTAGAATTATTGCAGAAACATGGATGAAGCCTTCAGGCAGAGTTTCGTTACTTCTAGCACTGACTAGGTAAGTGGTGGCTACCTACTAGTGATCTGCCACCAGGAAGTGGTAGTGTCCTGTGTAAGGGTGGGAAAGGTTCCACCTCTTTCGAAGGGGTCAGTTGCAATATCAGACCTTGGCATTTCTTTAATAATAGTAATGTTACATTTTAACAAAGTAAGAAATAATTATATAAAAAGAAAGACTCCAGATTACTGATCTACACATTCAAAACTAAAAATTCAACTTTACTTTGGCCCCATTGTTCATTATGAAAAAGATTTAATGACATGATCATGTTTTTTTCTGACCATACTGAATTTTGAGTTCAATCAGGGCTGTGCAGCCAAGACAACCGTTGTGCATATGGCCCTGTTTCACTTGGCTCATGAACACACACACACACACACACAGAGGCACACATACATGTATGTATGTGTGTATGTATATCTTAGGTACCTCACATTGGACACTAAATGGGTAATTTTGTCCTTCTTTCCTGTGTCTCAGGTTCCTACCTGCAAATAGGCAAAATACAATACTGTTGTCTCAAAAAGGTGTAGTGAAAAATAAAACCAGTTCATATTAGTATAACATACTTTGTGAAAATGTGGGCAACAAAAATTAATGGTTATCTTCTGAGAGCAGTTCACCTAATTTTCAGTAAAGGAGGAATAGGGCCTAATGGAAAGATAGTATATTATCGTGTAAAGTTTGTATCATAAGATCTTTACGAATTACATTCTTGTAAGGAGAAGAAACCTGTGTAAGTAGAAATTTTGCTGTTGTAATATATAAACATTGAGGTAAAGTTCTATCAGACAAATGGTGTCTGCTTTTATAGAGACAGATTGTTTGTATGGTTTCCACTGAAATGTGTCTGCATTTTACGTTTTCAATCAAGTCCAAAGCATTTACCATTGCAGGGAAAGTTTTAAAAGGCAAAAAATGTTGACAGTTTTAAGCCCCTTCATTCTACAAGCCTTTGAGAAATAAATACAATCATTTTCTTGAGTTTCTTGAAAATCTTAAATAAGATTTATTATACTGAGAAGTGTAACAGATAATCTCCTTTTCTCTTGCTCTATTATCTAGGGTTTGTGAAATCAACAGCATCCACTACCCAGTAAATTTGTTTCCTCTCTTTCTTATGATTATTTCTAACAGTGTTAGTTATCACTCTTCCATACCACCAGCTTTAAAAGTTCATGAGCACTTCTGGGGTTTGTGCCCAAGAGGCTTTTAGGAATTCAGATAAACTCTTAACATGACTGTAACTACAATGCAGCACCACAGCAGTTATAAAAAAGCATGTAACTAGTTCAAAGTTGTAAGAATATTAAAAATATAAACTAAGTATGCACTTTACACACTTTTAGTTGTAAGAATGCTAAAAATATAAACTAAGTATGCACTTTACACACCTTTTTTTTTGCTTATAATGTAAATTTCTATTTTAATTGAGAAGTGGTAAATTGCTAACCTTTATAGCAATGTGATCTGAGCCAGAATGGCTCACAAAGCAGAAAGTAAATCTGAAAAAGCCTTTAGGAAAGTATACATTTTAAGCATGTCTAAACATTTTAAAGGTGCAAATTTATTAAAGTTTAAAGTTTGCAGTACTGTGAAGGTGAAAGTTGCAAGACTGTTACTAAAGACATACCTAAAAGTGTGTTCAGACCAGTGTGGCTTTGTCTAGGGTATGTTATAAACAGGTAAATTGCACTCCTAGCTCAAAGGAAAAAAGAGAAGATGCTGACTCTTTCCCCAAATCAGACATAATTTCTGTTTTAAAATGAGATTAAAGTGGTCTTATCTTTGTAGGAAAGATACTTGCTACAATGCTTGAATAAGGTAGAGTTTGAATCTCTTATCTCATGAACTAGTTCCATGACTGAGCAAATAGTTACGGAAAGAGAATAAAATAAGCCTCAATTCACAAAATTGACCTCTGAAGTCCTTTTGTCTTGTACAGAAAAGTAATTTTTAAAGTACAAAAGGGGAAGTTCAAATAACACTGAGGTAAACTTGAAAATTGCCATTGACTTTAGTGGAGCTAGGATGTCATCTAGAATATTAGGAATTGCACCTCAGGTTGAAAAGTCATAGAATCTTATTAAAAACTAAAAGAAAAACAATCGACTTCCCCCTAGCTGTATGGATACACACTTGAGTTGATTTAGACGTATCTAATTTAGGGTATGGTGTGTAAATCCTAGCTAAAATTGGTGGGATTACTTGTTCAGACGAGCTGCTTTTGTGCGTAAGCATTGCAGGACTAAACCGTGGTTGCAGGTATGTTTATGTTTTTATCTTCCTCTCCACTTCTGAGAATTAATACCCTAATAAGAAAATAATCTCTGTTTACACAGGACTAACAACATTACATGCTCTGCTTCAGGTTAATTTAAAAATTCAATTCCCTTAAGTAGTTTTGACAGAGGCCCAGGCAGTTTCCTGAACGCATTTGCAGTAGAAGGCCTCTACACACTCTGTCTGGTTTCTTGTGTGGATCGTTATTAAGATCCCAGAATAGATCTTGAACTCAGTCCAAGGCCCTGTATTTTCTGAAATCTTTGAGGAATAAAGTGTGTGCTGGGAGATGGATCTTTGCTTTTTGTTTTCTACCTGATGAGAATAAAATAACTTTATAGGAAACCTTCTGGCATGTTGGGCCTTATCCAAAAGCTTTCAGACTCTACAACAATCTCTCTGTTGGTCTTAGTGATCAGATGTATTGAAAGAACCTTGGTCCCCAAGCCCTTTGGTGAAGCGTCAGGAAGTATTGGCACATGGTAGTTCACATGGGGATGGATTGTCGTTGCAGTAGTATTTTCACTATTATGATATGATGATTTTCACCGTTAATCACATTAGAGACCTTACTTAAATAATCAATTTCAGACACTCTGCGAATGGTCTGAGCTCGCATTTAAAAGGTCTTTGTGCAATTTAATATCCACTAAATAGAATAAACTGTGTAATAAAATTATATTTAAGTTGCTGTAAGGACTTTGGATCAGATTAAGGAGCAGTGTCTCTTTTGGTCAGTGACTAAAATGGGAGCTAAAATCACTTCAGAACTACTTTGGGATTTTGAGAGGAAGTACATTGCTATGCAGACCTCTAACAGATAAAGGCATGTATATATGGAGACAATTTTGTATACAAGTCAGGCCATACCATCAGACACTGTGGGTTAGGTTAGAACTAGGTTGGAAAACATAGTGGTGGAGTAAAACATTTGTTGTAACTTAGAATCCTGACTAGCTCCGTGCCTGTACTGTGCACATTTCCATGACACTGCTGCGCTGCGAGCTGACACCCAACCTCCCCGGTACAGTGCAGTGCCAGGGCTGTAACCGAACCTTTCGGACACCTGTACTGTTCATGCTCAATGCCTCGGCTCGATTAGTGTCACAGAAGCATAGGGAAGTTTGGTGTCTGGTTTTAAAATGGTGCTAGTTGCGCTCTTGGAAGTTACATGGAAATGCAAACATTCACAAGATCAGGGCCTTGGTATTCATACCTCTTCTTCATCAGGCTAGTACAGTTCATTTTACAGAAGCATCTTTTTTACAGAACATGAATAAATGAAAAGGACTCCAACCTCAGCAACAATGGCTGTTGTTTAAAAGATAAGATTCAGGGCTATTTTGCACATTAAGACCGCCAGAGTAGTGGCAATCTGAAAAGTGCTTCCCAGAAGTCTCAATACCTGTAAACACTTCTACAGCGCTTAACTTTCTTCCTGGGATATCTGCTCTTAAAATGAAGCCCATCACTAAATGCTTGTAAATCCACTTTTGCAGAGTCTGGCTTCCATAAGGAAAGCATTGTCCTTTACTCCTACTCTGAGGAGACCAAGGCCTCCCACTTTGGCAGTGGCTGGTAGCTGCTATAAACCCGCCAATTCGGAGGAGCTGTAATTGCACCATGCCTATGGCGAGGCAAACAT